TGTTACCCAGGCTGGAGTGCAATGGCTCGATCTCAGCTCACCGCAGCCTCCGCCTCCTGGGTTCAAGCAAATTCTGCCTCAACCTCCCGAGTAGCTGGGACTACAAGCACTCACCACCATGCCCAGCTAATTTTTGTACTTTTAGTAGATACGGGATTTCACCATGTTGACCAGGATGGTCTTGATCTCTTGACCTCGTGATCCACCCGCCTCGGCCTCCCAAAGTGCTGGGATTATAGGCGTGAGCCACCGTGCCCGGCCCTACCAAGCTCTTAAAACAGGCAGGTCACTGGCTGGGTGTGTTGGCTCACACCTGTAATCCTGGCACTTTGGGAGGCCGAGTCAGGTGGATCTCTTGAAGTAAGGAGTTCAAGACCAGCCTGACTAACATGGTGAAATCCTGTCTCTACTAAAAATACAAAATTAGCCGGGGCGTGGTGGCGCATGCCTGTAATCCCAGCTACTTGGGAGGCTGAGGCAGGAGAACCACTTGAACCCACGAGGTATAGGTTGCAGTGAGCTGAGATCTTGCCATTGCAAAAAAACTCCATCTTAAAAAACAAAACAAAAAAAACCAGGCAGGTCACAAGATGTGAGATGCGAGGAGAACTCCCAGAGGTATTGCCATAGGCCAGCCTGAAAGCATGAGTTCTGGCCCACCTTGGCCTTGATCCTGTGACTCTGGGAAGTTCCTCCTCAGCTGGGGGCAGCAGGGCTGAGGATTCTTGCTCTCCCCACCTGTTTTCCCCTTTGTTCCTTTGTTCCCCTTCCCCATCCTTTTCCTGTCTTTGCCTTTGGCTTAACTGAGTGCAGTGTTGTGGCTGTGGGAAGGGAGACAGGAGGCCTGGAGCATTTGGGGTCATACCCGTGGTGCACAGAGAAATGTTTAATAGCAGGGAAAGCCTTGATTATACCATTTGCTGGCTTCTGTGCTGTAAATATTCTCAGTACGGCCGCTTTTGAGCTACCAACATGAAATCAGTCCCTGAGCCTGGGGTTGGAAGAGATGTGCATTAGCACACACCTTCACACGAGATTTTCACCATCGCAAGGAATGGTGGAGCCTCAGGAGCAGAGGGCAGAGTCTAGTGTGGATCAGTAATTAAGAAGTGATGAGTTCTGAGGACTTATTACCTTAGTTTTAAACGTTATCCTTTAGGCCACACACAGTGGCTCATGCCTGTAATCCCAGCACTTTGGGAGGCTGAGGCAGGTGGATCACTTGATGTCAGGAGGTCGAGACCACCCTGGCCAACATGCTGAAACCCCATCTGCACTAAAAATACAAAAATTAACCAGGTGTGGTGGCAGGTACCTGTAATCCCAGCTACTTGGGAGGCTGAAGCAAGAGAATCACTTGAACTCAGGAGGCGGAGATTGCAGTGAGCCAAGATTGCTCCATTGCACGCCAGCCAGGGTGACAGAGCGAGACTCCGTCTCTAAATAAATAAATAAATAAATATTAAAAATAAACATCGGCTGGGCGCGGTGGCTCAAGCCTGTAATCCCAGCACTTTGGGAGGCCGAGGCGGGTGGATCACGAGGTCAAGAGATCGAGACCATCCTGGTCAACACGGTGAAACCC